CCCCTTTCGTGCCCCTTTCGGGCCCCTCTGGAGCCCCAGGGGGCTCGTTTAGGTACCGTTTGGGTACCTTTTCGGACCACCCGCGACACCCCCCCATTTATGACCCCTCCATTACGCAACGCCCAATCGGGCCAGACTCCAGGGGGGTCCGGAGGCCCACCCGAACACACCAAAGTTCGGCTCTCCTCGGAAGCAAGGGGCACGGCCTCGGCAGCCCGGGGGGTGCGCCTCCAATGAGCGGGAGGAGGAGGAGGAGGAGGCGGAGGAGGAGGAGGAGGAGGAGGAGGAGGAGGAGGAGGAGGAAGAAGGGTGGCGTCTGGAACTTTTCTTCGACCTGACCCTGCCAGAGGCGCCCCTGGCGTGCATGCTGAGAGTCCACGGCCCGCGCCCCGGCACGCCACGGACCCCATCGGGGGCGCCCAGGGGGGCGCCGAGCCCTGCGCTCTGCCGCTCCGCCGTGCACGCGGGGACACGCCGTGCCGCGCTGCTCTCCCTGCTGCGCCAGGCAGAGCTGCCCGTGCCGTGCTGCGCTGCTCCGCGCCATGCTGCGCCGTGCCATGCGACTCCGTGCAGGGCCGCTCCGTGCTGCGCGGTGCCGCCGCGCCGCGGCGGAGACGTGCCACGCGCCGGGATGCCATGCGACGCTCCACATTGAGTTGCGCTGCCTCTCCTGGCGTTGAGCAGAAAGTGGGCTTCCTGGCGATGACACCCGGGCGGCATTCGGATCGACCGCGCCAGGATGCGCTCAGCATCGCCACACGAGCATCGGGCCGCACTGGATCGTCGGAACATGGGAATCGAAACGGATCTGGGGGGAAGGATCGGGCCCCTTTCGTGATCGGGCCGGCCGAAATCGATAACCAATCGTATCGCCGTGGATCTCATTCGGGCGGCCTGGATCCCTGCAGGCAGACGCCCTCGGCGCTCAGGAACGGGCGCCCTTTCCGACGAGGGGGCTTGGCGATCCCTATCCCCGACTCTGTGAGGTTTCGACTGGACGAGGAACTCTTGGGCACAACTTGGGGATACATACGGCAGAGGGGGCGTCCGTCCTCGGTCGGGGTGCGACCGAATAGCCCCCTGTAGGTGCATCTCCGAGTTGCCCTCCTTTCTCGAGTCTTCCTGGGGGCGAGCAAACGCCTGCTCAGAGGTGCGCCTGTTCTTTTGGCGGCGGTCGCGGCAGCCGTGGGTCTCGGCTGGCCGCGCTGCTTAGCACCGCGGCCCAGCCGCAACCGCCAGCGCTCTCCACCGCAGCGCGCGCCGCACGCGGGCACGCCATTGGCGCCGATGGCAGGCGTGCCTCTGTCGGAGACTCTGCGACGAAAAAAACATGGAGGAGGCCCCCACTGCGAACCCACGCCCACCCCGCGACTCTTCTCCCCCCTTCCCCCCGCGTCCCCTGGGGGCCCCAGAACCGTGTGGTGACAGACCGCGCAGTGACCGCGAACTTCCGCAAGACCTCACAGCACGGTCCGTCACCGCACAGCTTTGGAGACGTCGAAGCCCCAGTCGCCCGAGGCACCCCTGAATAACGACCAGAGTCCCAAAACTGTGCGGTGCCCCCCGAATCCCAACTGACTCACCACACGGTGTGGTCACACCATGCAGTCTGGGGGCCTCCGAGTTCCACACGAGGAGGAGGGGGAGGCGCCCTGACCTCCGAGGGGGGCGAACAAAAATAGCACCTGCCAGCAGGAGTTTGACATCAACTTCTGTTCTAAGCAGTCCAAATGCGTGTATAGGTATGGAGGGCAATTTTTGATTGCTCTGGAAGGTCGAAAGGGGGAGACTTGGCAAACATTGCGACCCACAATCTCTCCCCATCCAGGCCCTCATACCCCCCAATCAGATTCCCCAGGCGTCCCTGGAAAGCCGCGGAAACATCGAGGCCTCAGAAGACCAGGCGCTTGAACGCCTTCGAATCCGAAGGCACCTGGAAGCCTGAATTCTATCAGAACGAGGCACAACACCTGGAGCCTCGCATCTCGAAGCTTGACTCCGACCCCCCTCCCCGCGTCGGTGGGGCGATAGGCCCTGGTAATGCATCAGCCCATCGTGTTCGCGTGACGAATTGGCAGAATTGGCCAAGGGGGAGGGGAAGAGCGCAAGCACCACGGGGCCCAGGAGCATCTACGCTTTGCAGGCTTCTGCCACCTATAGCCGCTGCAGGCGGAGGAGGAAGAGGACAATTGCAACTGGTGCGAGTGGTGGGGAGGAGAAGGAGAAGAGAGAGAGGGGGGGAAAGGGGACAACATTGGACTGCGAGTCGCAGCGCGGGCCTCCTGACCACGGTAGTGAAACGTGGCGAAAATAGCGATGCGACGCGCCAAATCCTATCGCTACGACATACGGTTGGCAACGCATCACGTCGGTCCCTGACACCCGCCCCGCCGGCCCCAAAAATTCTAGACTGCCTCTCATTTTCGTTTTCCTGGTTTGGCCACACAACCTCGGATTCCAACGACATCCAAGCGCCACATTTCTGTCACACAGGGCGGCAATCGGCTCGCAATCCTTTGACTCGGTGTTACCTGCGCTGACCCCTTATGCCATGCGCATTGTGGACCTACCTTGCCCTCCTACTTCAGGAGCCACATAACCTACTTCAATTATTGTCCGCCTCGGACGCGCTTTGCATTGAAAGCTCAGTCTCAGCGAGCCTCAGACCGAGGCGGCACCTTCACGGAGGGTTCCTGGGCGGGCACGGAAGCGGCCCAGCGAGGGGAGTGAAGGGCACGATGCGCAATGAACATATGAACACACACACTCGCAAAAACACGCACACAAACACAAACACACACACACACACACACACGCACACGCACACGCACACGCACACACGCACACGCACACGCACACGCACACGCACACGCACACGCACACGCACACGCACACGCACACGCACACGCACACGCACACACGCACACGCACACGCACACGCACACGCACACACACACACTCACACACACACACACACACACACACACACACGCACACACACTCACACACACACACACACACGCACTCACACACAGACACACACACATAAACAGACACATGTATTTACAGAGGCCTCCTAGTTGGGGTCCGAGTAGATGGGGTCGGAGGATCTCACCGCACCGCCGATGCATCGACGATGCATCGCTGATGCATCGGCGATGCATCGGCCATGCACTGGCGACGTCAGCGATGCATCGGCGACGTTGGCGCGGAGAAAATCGAGCCCCACATCGAGCCGCATCGCCGATGCATCGCCGATGCGGCGCGATCCTCCGACCCCATCTACTCCGACCCCATCTGGGAGGCCTAGAATTTATTAACTAGCGCAAGAAAAGTCGGCCCATGGCTGAGGAGAAAGGAGGATAGCAGAACGGGAGGAAGGGGGGAAGGAGGCGAAGCAGCAGCAACAGCAGGAAGCGCAAGCGGCGCAGCCGGCGGCCGCCGCCTGGCGCCCCCGCTTGGCGGGGCGCCCGCCCCAACAGATTCCCGGCCAGGCCGGGCGGAGGGCCCCGCGCGCGGCCAGCAAAGCCGCGGGGCCTTGGGCGGCCAGGCAGCCCGCCGCCGCCGCCGCCTCCAGCAGCGCCGCTGCCTCCATGGGCCACGGGAGAGGCCCGCCGGGCCGCCGGCCGCACCCGGAGAGCGCATCGGCCAGCGCGTGGCCTCCGGCTGGCCGGCCAGGCCGGCCGCCTCCCACAGCCTGCGTCTGTCGCGGGCGGCACGTCTGGAGGCGGGCGTGGGCGCCACGACGGGTGACCATGTATACTCTGTCCGGCGCTCCAGCCGCCAATTCCACCTCACTGCAGAGAAGTGGCCGCCAACTTCATCTGACTGGAGGGATTTGGCCGTCGACTCTGAATTGGCAAGCCCCCTTTTGACGGTCTCCGTCCGAGTTGACGAACCCCCTTGACGGTCTCTCTCCGAGTTGACGAACGCGCCTGACGGCCTCCATCCAAGTTGACGAACCCCTTAACGAACCCCCCATGACAGCGTCCCTCTATAAGGTGACGTGCCCCCCTGACAGCCTCCCTCCGACCTGATGAAACCCCCTGACGGCCTCATTCGCCGCCCTGCCCCGTCTTGACGAGCAAAGCGTCGGGGCCGAGCTGATGGTTAAAAGCGACCTCGGTCTTGACGAACAACGGGTCGGGTCCGAGTTGACGGCTCCTCTCGTTTTGGCGAACACGAAATATTGGAGCTGAATTCGCCTTAGCGAACATAGTATTGGGGCCGACTTGACGACCTTTGTGAGCGCTTCTCCAGACATGCGCCGTCTCAGCCACTGGGTTGGGCTCAGCCCACAGCCGCGCCGCCTCCGCCGCGGCGCCCGCAGCCTTACCGCCGCCTGGTTTGCCGTTGGCGCCGTCCGTCGCCTCACCAGCGCAGGCCTCCTCGGCGCAGCCCCCCGTCCGCCAGGTGGCCTGGGGCGGCGTCGCCACCGCGCGGCTGCCCCGCCCACGCTCGCGGGTCGCTGGCGCCCTCCGACGCGTCAGCCCAAGACTGGGAGCCAGCGCCCAGCAAGGCGCCTCCAGCGCGCCGTGCTCCCTCTCCATGGAGTGCTCGCCCCAGCCTAGGTGCGCGAACTCGAGCGGCTCGCGCGACAGGCGGCGTCGTCGCGGCTGCGGCCGCCAGCGCCGCCAGTCGCTCCCGTCGCCCTTCCGGGGGGGCCGGTGGTTGCAGCTCCGTCGCGGCCTCTCTCGGAGCCGCCGGTGCCGCCCTGCGCCGTCCCTGGCACTGCCCCTGCAGGGGCCGCTGGCGGCGGCTTCGTCGCGGCCTCCGCTGCGGCGACGCGGGCGCCGCGAGCGCCGTCGGCGCGCCCCGCAACCGCCTGCGGTGCTGCCGCCGCCGCCGCCGCTGCTGGCAGCCGTGCTGCGCCAGGTGTCGCGGTCCGACGCGCTGGCGGTGGGGCATGTAGCTGCCGCTGGCTTGTCGTCCGCCGCGCCGCATTCGTCGTCCGTGTATAGTCCTCGGAGTAGCGGCTGCTGCCCATGCTCCTTCGGGGACAAGGGCGCCGCCGCCGCCGCCGCTGGCGCCGGCGCGGCGTCTTGTTTCGCCACCCCGCCCCCCGCCACGGCGGCGGCTCCGGCATCGCACCATTGGCCTGGTGCGGGGGGGGCGGGCACCGAGGCGGCAATCAGCTGCCAACCGCAGCCCGCCAGGAGGTGGGGGAGGCAGACCCAGCACCCTCCCGACAGCCACTGCATGCACCAACGCGCGCCCGCGCGCCGCGCCCCGCGATCCCTCGGCTCCCCTCGAGCCGATCCACGTCAACCTCCCAAACCCCCGAAAGGAATTGGGAACTTTACCCAAAATGGCTACGGACAAACAAACACACGCACACACACAGACACACACAGACACACACACACAGACACACACACACACACACACACGAACACAGGCACGCACACATGCACGCACGCACGCACGCATTTACACACACAAACGCACAAACACAAACACAAACACACACACACACACATCCGCAAACATAAACACACACACAAACACTTACTCGCGCACAAAAAATGTTTGCCGTCGGCGGCCAAGTGGGTGTCACAAGAGCGCGTACTAGGGCGGGCCACACCTGGTTCAAATACCACTTGGCCTTACAGATGAGTGGTCAGGACTTGGCGGACGCATGCAGCAACACAAAACCTGAAGCGAACGCACGTGGAAGATGACGAGGGCAATACAAACACACAATCTACACACACGGTCCCCGCAACTGACATGGTGCCAACACCATCGCCAATGCAAGACAGTGCAACGCTTCACTCGAGCCTCGCAAACCAGGATCCTCTGTTTCATGCTTCAAGCTGCTCCACTGCCTCGAGAAGAATGATTGCACGCCTCTCGGCTCCGACACGGACCGCAAACGCACATCACAAGCTCGGCGACCCGTTGGACTGACTCCGTCCCGCTCCCGCCAGAGAGCCGCACTCTCCTCGTAGACGTCCCCGCAGCGACGCACCACCGCCCTGGCCACCACCACCACCAGTGTTCCGAGTCCATCCAAACAACCAGTGCCGCCGCAAACAACCGCATCCTTCACATGTCCTTCCGCCAAGCCCTATCCTTCCATCTTTCGCACCCCGTCCCCAAACATCCGATGTCCTTGGAGAGACCAAAAGGTACCGATACCCCTACTCCCCAGACCTCTCCCGGGGTGCGATCCGACCAGAATTTCGAGGCGAATCCAACGGTGGCGACGAGGGCCTCCCAGGAGGCCCAACAAGGGGAAAACGAGGGAAGGGTAGAGAGGTATGGGTACCTCTCACTCCTCTGAGTCCTGAACTGCTCGACGCGAGGTCCCCCGGAGCCCCGACCCCTTCCCAGGATCTGGCTCGGACACCCCGAGACGGCGAGGGGCCAGGTCGTTCGCGGGCGCAGCAGAAAGCTGACATCTGCTAGGACGCGTGGACGCAAAACTTTCACCAGGGATCCAGCGCGGCCACGGGGAGCCTCGCGGAGGCCCATAACTGGCTGGACAACAACCTTCAAAAACATCGCGACCCCCGACGCTCGATCCTCGAAGTAACCCCAGCCACACGACGCTCCGACGCGCCGGGGGGCAATTCGGACAGGAGGGGACGGCCGGAAGCGGGACCGAGCCAGCAGTGCGTCGGCAAGGGGGGGCCGATGCTGGCGGAAGCGTGGCACCGCCGGTGCCGAAAGCAGAAAGGGCTCCTGTCTGCGCCACTCAGAAGGCGGGGGCCCCGATCGATGTATGGTGACGACGCTTGCTGCCACTTTCCTGCGCGATGACGAAGAACCTCCTGACAAAGAAACCCACCAGGCTGCCTGCTGTCCCTCAACCTTCGATTTTGTTTAACCTGCACAAGCATGAACTGTCGGAGGTCCGCGCAGATGTCTTGGATTGGCGCTGGGCCCCTCTGGCGGCTCCTCCGGCGCCGCGCTTGACGCGCTTCCCGCACCAGAGGGGGTCTAGGGCCGATGCGGGAAATCAGCGCGCACCTATGATTATCTATGATTGTGCAGTGGCTCATTCTTCGATCTCCTCCTCCTCCTCCGCCTCCTCCTCAACCCTCTCTCCGCCATCTCTCCTACTCCGCCCCCTTCTTTACCCCGTTGAGCGTGCCATATTCGATCATCTTCTCCGTGAGCCTCTTCCGCAGGTGTCGTTTGACCTGTCACACATGCCCGCCCCAAGGTAGGATTGGGAACACTGGAGGGATTATGTAGAGGCCTAGGTTGTAGCACCTGCGTCTGCCCCTGACACTCTTTCCGATTTCTGCCTTCCGCCACATGGTACCTTTCGTGACTGTCACGCCCCCAAGACGCAACATGCTACACTTTCCTGGTAGCATTTGCCCTGTTCTCGAAGCTACCGTTCGCGGCTCATCCCCACTGTTCCAACCATAGAAGTGTGAGACCTTTGCCCTCACTGGTTCAACCCTATGCCGTAATCGCTCTTGTGCTATCATGTGTCTCTGCACTGGCATCGCCTTCGCCACTGTCGTGCCACTTGCAGTGCTCAACGAGAAGACCGTAGGCGAGACCCTCATATCAACCCTTCTTGGGCAAGTGTACCGGGGGCACGAGCTGGAGTGTCCTGAAGCACGAGTTGGCCTCAGCTCCGTTCGAATTCTCTGCGCTGAACTCCGTAAATATGTTTCAAGGGGCACACAGCGTGGAGTGCTGAGCGCTCTCGCGCGCTCCTGGGTGGTCCCCGCGTGACTCCTCCAGAGGCTAAGAACACAGGGCTCGGGACATGCATGTCCAACACGGTTTCAGCTGGCCCCAAATACCATCCTGGAGCCCTCTAGAGCGCATCGTGGGCCGTGCTGGAAGTTCTGGACGGAAGCGCAAGAAACCAAAATTGTCAAAACACATGGGTCCTTATATGGTTTTTGCATTGCCGTCCTTCCGGTCTTCAAAGCGCCCACGACTTCCACGATGCGCCCAAGATCGCTCCAAAATGGCTCAAGAGCCCTCCAGAAGGGCCCGACCCCAAGAGGGCCCAAAGAGGGGGAGAACACGAACTGGTATTTTGAGCCCTCCGCCCCAACCCCCAGAAACTTCCGAGGTGCGCTCAAAAGGCCCCAAGAGGCCCCCAGTAGGCCAAATTCATGCCGCAAGAAACCCCGACGACGCCTCAAAGCACCCCAAAACCGTTTCAAAAAGGCATCCGAGATGCCTCCCAAGATATCCTTACAGGCATCCGGGCGGCCTCTCACCTACATGCCAGGCACGGTGGCGGCATGGGCCGAATACCACAGGAGCCGCCGCCCCTTGTTGATATATATATATATATATATATATATATATATCACAGGAGTGCCTGGCTTGCTAGATCCTACGGCTTGGTTTTGTTTCTCTTCAAGAAGAACTCCCCCTGGGGCTTCGGTCGATGCCGCCGCTGCACAATCAACGTCTCCAACACGGCCTCGATGGCTTGCAAGACGACCAAGATGGTCCAAGATGGCCTCCAAGTTCGCCCAAGATGGTCCAAGATGGCCTCCAAAACAGATCAAGAGGGTTCAAAGATGGCCCCCAAGAGACCTCCGGACCCGAAGAACCAAATTCATGGATTTTCTGTTGGTTCTGGAAAGATGTTCGCATTTGCCTCCTTTCCGTTTTCCGACCGCCAAAGGCGGTCCCAAAGGCCTCCGAGGACTCCAATATTACCTCATGACGGCCCAAGGAGCCTCTAAACAACACCGAAAGGGCCTCCAAGTTCGCCCAAGATGGTTCACGTTCAAGTCCAACTGGCCATACTTGTTCCAAGGGCGCGATGGTGGGTGTGCGTGTATGGCGTGTGACACTGATGCGGCTACTAACTATATGTATTGGGGTGGCGCAAGAAGCTCCCAGAAGGCCTCCTGCTCCTCTTCCTCCTTCTCCTACTCATCCTCTGCCTAATCATCCCCTACTCCCTTCCTCAACTTCCGCCTCATGCTCCTACGATGGTTTCCCGATGGGTTTCCACTGCGGCTCGGGGAACACCTGGTCCGATAACGTATCCAAGATCTGGGCCAAAACAATTGGCCACAGATGCACTTTTCAAAAAGGGGGGGGGGCGGCGGTGATTGGCCGTAGGCGTCTTGACCGCCGCCCCCTGGTGATTCATCACAGGGTTGCCTGGCATGCTAGATTCCTGAAAAGTTCTGGCCCCCCAGAGATCGCCCCAAGATGGCCCACGAGGCCCCCAAGAGGTCCGCAAGGCAGCCCAAGAGGGCCCAATGACAGCGCAAGAGGTGACCAAGACTGCCCCAAGACGGCCCCAGAGAACCCGAAGACAGCCCTAAAGCGGGCCCCAAGACGGCCTCCGAAGACCAAGAGGTACCATAGAGGCCCCGAGAGGCCCACGAAGAGGCCCCATAGAGGCCCCCCCAGAGACCAAGAGGTACCATAGAGGCCCCCAAGAGGCATACTGAAGAGGCGCGTCCTCTTCTTCCTTCTCCTTCTCCTCCCTCTCCTCTTCTTCCTCTGCTGTCCCTCACGTGTGCCCCGAAGGGCTTCTATGATGGACGGGGGGACGCATTGTCCGACAGCTTGGCCGAGCTCTGGCTGCAACGTTCGGCCATATAGGCGCTTCCGAAAGGCAGGGGGCGGCGGTGATTCGCCGTAGGAGCCTTCGATACCAAATTCCAAGAACAACCCCCTGCTGCGAAATATAACCGGGCACGAACACATACGTAACACTGTTGGGCGGAGTGGCCAATCGATGATGCTGCCGGACCTGGATGTACCAGCGTCACGGAAAGCGCAAGCACACGCACAACCGGAGGCTGCGCAAGTGAACGAGGCTGAAGAGATGGTCTACCAGCGACAGTGACAGCCACTCTGAGCAACAGAAGCTTCCAATACTGTCGCCAACGCCATGGGCCAGGCATGTCGAAAAATAATCCCAAGCGGGCCCCTCCCGCCATACGGCCCCCAAGGTGGACGACATGGGAGAGCACCACCAGCAGAGGGCAGAGGAAGGAACGACACCTGGAGACCAGGACGAACCTGGAGCTGGGGCAGGGAGGAGAGCGAGCGATAAGGAACGACAGCAATGAGGGACGAGCAGGAGGGAGAGCAATGCAGAAGAGCGACGCAAGACGGCGGAAGGAAGGACGGCGACACCAACCCGAAGGCTGGCGAACTGGAGAGCAGCGCCGGCATTCGGGCTTCAAATGTTGATCCTAAAATGAACCTGATAATTAGCCCGGCGAGGGACCCAACCTCTTCGGTGGAACTCTCGATGTGGCCACAAAACGTGTGAGGGGCGTGCAGCTTTGACGAGGTGAACCCTCCCGCTGGGACCATCGGTAGAGCGCACAATGGTGCCACGAAACGTGTCAGGGGTGTGCGCCCTGAACAGGCGTGACGCCCACATGCGAACTGCAGCACTGGGACCTTCGGTGGAGCTTTCTACGGGGCCACGGAACGTGTGAAGGGTTCACCGACAAGGGGACGTCGCCCACATGCAAATTGCAGCGCCAAGACCTTCGGAAGAGCTCCCTACGGGGCCACGAAACGTATGAAGGGGTGTACCAGAACGGGGGTGTCGCCCACATGCGGGCTGCGCGACTGGGACCTTCGGTGTAACTCCCCGTGGGCTCACGAAACGTGTGACGGGTGTGCCGCAGGGGGGTGTCGCCCACATGCGGGCTGCGCCACGGGGGCCGTGGAGCTCCCTATGGTGCCACGAAGCGTGTGAGGGTGAGCCACTGGGGCCTCAGGTGGAGATCCCTATGGGGCCACGAAGCGTGCGAAGGGGTGTGCCGAAACGGGGGTGTCGCCCACATGCGGGCTACTCCACTGGGACCTTCGGTAGAGCTCCCCGTGGGGCCACGAAACGTGTGAGGGATGTGCCGAAACGGAGGTGTCGCCCACATGCCAACGCTGGGACCTTGGGTGGAGCTCCCTATGGGGCCACAAAGAGTGCGAGTGGTGTACCGAAACGGTAGGCTGATGCGGAAAGCAGAGGCAGGGATGGGAGGATGCATGAGGAAGGGGAGGAGGAAGGAAGGAAGGAAGGAAGGAAGGAAGGAAGGAAGGAAGAAGTGACGCGGGGCACCGTCTCTTCAAAACGTGGACCCAACACCACAGGATGGTTTGAAAAAAACAACGCATCAAGAACAACCCCCTTCTGCCAACCAAAACTTAAAACGAACATATACGTAATACTCTTGTGTGGACTGCTGAATTGGTCCGCTGACCCGGACGAACATCTGGTCATCTCATGAAACCTTCCCCTGACATCTAACAAACAACGCCGGCATTGACAACAATCAAAAAGGACGGCGGCCTTCAGTCGGTAAGTGCGCCTCAACGTCTAAACGAATAAATTTACGAGGACTGTCAGCAGGATCACGATCTCTCGCGCCTCGCAACGGCGGCCGTCTTAGAGAAATACGGCGAGACAAGGCCAATACTGGATTCGCGACGCAAGCCAGAGCCTAACGCAAGCAACGATATTCAGGACCGTCATCTCGAGGAGGCATCCCACACGCCAGTGCGAGTCCGACTTGGCCCTAGCACGAGGACGCGAGATACATCATGTGGCACACATGGGGCCCCCCGAGTGGGAACAATGGGGGACGAGACGAAACAAGCCAATTCACATACGTTTTGCTTTATATGCTGGCAGATTCGCGGCAAGCAGAAACAAACCTCGACGACCGATTAACGGCACATGGCGGCACCCGCCCCGCGCCAACCGTTCATCAAGCGCCCCCGATTCGTCACTCACGGCTCATGGCCGCTCATGCCTTACGTTCGGTGAACCCCAGAACTTCCATGAAATGGATCGTAAGCCCAGAAAGTCAAAAACGATATGTTTCAGGTTGTGCCAAATGTTTGTTCATGAACGCTAGCCGGCAATGTGTGTGAATCCAATACAACATGATATACTGGAGCGGGCCAGTCTTGAAGTGGCACTCTCGACTGCAAGGGGTCTGCCGGATGTCTCCACGTGAATCGCTTGGACTGGGCAAACTTGTGCGGGGTCCCGGGTCGGGCGAAGCATCGGCCGAACGCGGATATTGACCGAATTGCACGAGCTGCGGCCCTGCATTCTTCGAGCGAGGCGCCGACCGCGCCGGTGCATCTGAAACACGCAACCCCAAGCGAATCCCGAAGCCGAAAGGCGCAAACGGCACCCCGAGAAGAAAGAAACACTAAATCTTTGGACGCGGGCAAGCTTCATATCCGCTCGGTCCGTACCGCTAGGACCACCCTTCGGCTGATAAGCAGGTTCGGGGGAGGGATAAGGAGGCGGCCGATATGCCATGAGTCCCGCCGACCGCCAACAAAAACACGGCACTTAATCATCAACCCTTAACCCCGCGCGCTTCTATCAACCAAATATCTATACATATATATATATATATATAAAAACAGTTCTGTGCATATATACATGTATATATATATATATACATATGAACATGTATATACATATACATGTAGAGAGAGAGGGAGAGAGAACCGATCCTTCCAGCAGTTCATCGATGTATATATCTACATGCCTACCCACCGCAAGGATGGTTGGCGCCATGACGTGGCATGTATTTGTTCGCGCACTTGTTGGTGGCGGAAGGCGCCGCAGATCGCATCCACGTGCTTCTACCCGCGCTGCTGCGCAAGTGGCGGTGACAAGTGGTTTGTGTTTTGCCTGCCCCGCAGTGTAAAGTAGCAAACGGAACTGGGTGATTCTTCTGTTGCAACGCAAAGTACGTGGCAGCTCGTCGCCCGCCCACTGTTGCTTCGTTGTTGTTGGCCGCCGCTCGGCTGCGCGCGCCCGCCTATCAACCCAACGGCCCTTTCGTGGATCGATCGACCTATAAATATAGATATATATGAACCTACCTACCTGTCGGTTGATGAATATAACTATGTACGCATGTATCTATTCGTTTAATGTATCTAACCCGTCTGCGTTTCAACTATTTCTATACATCTATCGATATATATATATATATATATAGGTGTATCGAATGTCGGTGCTAATGGTGGGTGGTGGTGATACTGATAGCGGCGGTGGAACTGGTGATGGCAGTGTGGTGGGATGGTGGTGGACATGTGACGTGACGGTTGTTTTGTGGATGCTAATTAATGCACCGCAGCGCGATGCCAGCTTCACTTACTGGCGCGCGCTCTAACGGCTGCGCACTCGAGGAAAATCAACCCTACTGCAATCCGACATGCGTCGAAGCGCTGGCAGAGCTTGGCGCCGCGAAGCGGGCGGCCGACGGCGACGTCGTCGTCGTCGTCGTCATTGCCTGGCGCAACCCTATTGCCACTGGGGCTCGTCCCCTAGCGTGCCGCGAAAAGGCGCTGGGTGGCACCATCTCTGGTCACTGTCGTTTCTGTCGTAGCGCCAGTGGCTTCCGCCCTGGAACTCCCGCCAGTTCGGGCCGCTTCCCGGCGCCGTCGAAGGCCGTCCGCCCACGGGGGCGCCCCGGCCCCGCGCATCCGGCGGCGCGCGCGCGACCGCGTGCAAAGGCCTCGCCCGCGTAAGAAAGTCCTGCCCCCCCCCCCCTGCGGCGAGACAGCGCAGAACCAGAACCCGCAATGGCGCGCTGTCGGAGACTGGCGCGCGCCGCTCTGCTCTGCGCACTGGCGGCGCATGTGCTCCTGGCGCCCCGCCGCTCACTGGAAATGCGCGACATGGAGGCCGCGGCCGCGCGCGCGCGCGCCCACTAGGACAACGGCGGCGCGCGAGCTGCGGCCGCGCGACGACGCCGCTGAACAGACAACCGACGCTCTCTGCGATGCGAAGAAGCACGCCCGCAACTAGTGGGCCGAACGCAGCGGTCGCGAGATCGGCGCCCCACGTCAAGAAACGCGGCCTCGCGCGCATCGACAGCGCGCCGTTCCCCGGCAGAGCGCAGGGGGGGGAGGGCCCGGCCGCGGCGGGCGCACGTCCCGCAGAAGAAAGCTGGCTCGTCTTCCACCTCGACGCCAATAGCGGCCGCGTACGCCTTCATGGACTGATCCGAATTGGAGCCGAGGCGCGCGCCGCAAACGTCATTATCCCCCCCTCCCCCCGAGACCACCCCATCGAGATCCCCCCCGAGACCTCCCAGATCCCCAGGAGGGGGTCTCGATAGAGGAGCTGGGGGGGGGGGAGCGGGCGGAGCGGGCGATGCCCCCCCCCCCCCCCTTACGTTTCGGTTTCGACGGCTGGCAAAGCTTGTCTTCGTGACTTTTGCGACGACGCGAAGGGTCGTCGGCTCGGAGATCGAAAGTCCGCCCCAGAACCTGGTTGTCCAGGGGTCCGTTTGGCCCAGGAGCTCAAGGGAAATCCAGCCGTGGTGGCGAGAAACCTCCAGGAGGCCCAAAATGAATGCAAAACATACAAAAATGTGGACGTTCGATCCTCAACCTACGCCCTAAGCCGCGACCCTGAGATACGACGCCGCAAAACATCGCAGCACCATGAGGCATACAACGACCACCCTACAGACTCAGTGCTCTGCTGCATCTCTTGAGCCAGAACGAAAGGATACGTGAGGGCCCTGGGGCCCGAATCTGGGCGAAAACGACGGTTGAGACGAAATTGCCACGCCCAGATCCAAAATTCAAAACTCGGAGCACCAGCGGCCGTTCGGGACGACCCGGTCACCCCCAAAACGCTCTCGGCGACGCGCATATGCTGCAGAGCACCCCAAGGCGAAGAGGCGCCTCCCACCACCGACAGTGGCTTCCGACGACCTCCCCGAAGTCCGGGCCCCCCTCATCCTCGAGGATCCCACCTGCCGTCGCTCGGACGCCCATTTCCCGTGCACTTTTCGGTTTCGTGCGTGTTTTTTTTGCTCGATTGTCCAGGATGGTCCTCGATGGTTCTCGCCGAGGAAAAATGCACACGTCCGAGCGATGCCAAGCCCAAGGGGGAGGAGGGGGGGCAACAAGGGGAGCATCCCTCCGGCGGAGCGCGTCGGCGCCGCTCCGCGCCTGCGCAGTGCGCTGCGCTCCCGCCCCCGACCCCGCCGCGCAGCCAGAGGACGAGGACCGTCGCCAAGGCGATGGCCGCGCCGACGCCGGCTACTGCGGGCGTGAGGGGGGCCACCAGGGGGGGGCAGGAGCGGGCCGCCTCGGATCGACCAGTGGGATAGGATCGGGCCTTGCACCGGGTCGGGCTGGTGCGGCGAGGGGGCGGACCTGAGTCAGATCGGCCGCGGCAGGATGCACAATTCGAGCGGCATCGGAGCGCCCAAACACCATAATGTAATCGCAGCGAGCTGGGCGAAACGGGCATCGAATCAGATCGATCGGATTGAACCTGCCCTGGGTGGGCGAAGCGAAGAAACAGAAGCCATGACCTTTGGGGGATCGGCCGTTTTTGTCGCGGCATGTTTGTCCCCATGTTTGATTTCAATTTCGGTATCCATGAGAGCGGTTTTCGGGCCCCCGCGGTTATGAACATGGATGTGAGGTGCCCAGGCTGCCTCACCATTCCAGATCCGGGATGTTGCCAGCGCTCGCGCGGCAGCACCGTGCCCGGTTGGGAGTCAGCGGCGTGGCCAAAGCGGAAGCGAAAACACTGTTCGCAATCAGGAATGTGGCCAGCGCTCAGATGGCATCACACCATCTGAACAGCGCGTGGCCAGTGCTCAGGTAACTGCGCCACGATCGGACATGCACCAATCCTCCAGCGACACTACCATTCAGAGCGAGTGGCGCTGCCAAAATCGGAGCTTGGGGGGTGATACCGAAAGTCGACGTGAGAAACCCGAACCGGGAAATCGTCTCGTTTCGTGCGTGACGCGCGTGCAGGCGGGGCGTAGCTGTGTGAGCTCGTGCCATGCAGCCTCGGACAAAATCCCCCCCCGACTCCGACACACACGCCCATGCCGATCCACAACGTGTTGGGGATGTCCACGCCCATGCCGCCCACCACTTTGCAACGCAGTCGTGCGACATGTGGACCAGAATGGGTATTCACGACACCGTGCCAGTACCTCTGTTTGTACAAGCCCAACACCATGTGCCAATTAACCATTAAGTGTCGAGAAAAAGGGTTGGGCGAAAGAGACTTCATTTGTCTGTCGTGTGTTCTTGTGGCCTTGGTGTGGCGTTACGAAGAATACATCCGAGCCGGATTCGCCTCGGGAGAATTTCCTCCAAACGCCGCCACCCACGCCCATGCCGAGAGACAACGTGTTCAGGATGTCCACACCCGTGTCGCCCACAATTCTGTACCGCAATCGTGCTACATGTGGGCAACACGTGGTATTCACGGAACCGTGCCGTTAGTTCGTTTTGCACGCGCCCTACACCACGTGTCAATTAATAATCCACTCGCAAACAAAACGTGCCGCATCCCACTGTGTGTTGAGACCGAATGGCGACCAGAACGGGTGTTATCCCACCGTGCAGACGTTCTCTACCTGTTCCTTCCGCGAGCCCGGTGGGGGCTTCTGAAGGCCGCAACCATACCAAACGAAGTAGGGATTAGTCGAATTTAGAAAACGTTTCAAGCGAAACTGTGCCGAAACCGCGCCAAAACTGAGCCGAACCAGGCAACTTGTCAGGAAGTCTCAAAGCGAAACTGAACCCACACCAGGCACTACCAGGGCGAAGCCACGCAAATGCTGACGACGTCTCAAACGAAACCAGGCGTACGCCAGGCCAAAACAGGGGCTACACCAGGCAACTTCTGAGGATATTTCAGGCGGGGCGCGCGGCCAAACCACGCACCACCCACTTCCCCGCATGACGAATTAAAGCAGTGGGCCCCCCCCCCGCAGGCGGAATCCCACTTTGAATTTTACGGGGGGGGGTCTTTGGACCGCACGCCCTGTGATGCGGATAGGGTTGGGAGCAGAAGCCTTCAGTTGTTTGTCGTATGTTTGGGGGGCCTTGGTGTGGCGTTAGGAGAGATACTTCCGAACCTGATTCGCCTCGGAAGAGTTTTCTCCGAAAATCGGCACGCCCATGCCGACCCACAGCGCGTTAGGGATGTCCACATCCATGTCGCCCAAAATTTTGTAGCGCAGTCGTGTCACCTGTGAACCACAATGTGTATTCATGACACCGTGCCATTGCTTCGGCTTGTACGCGCCGACCACAACGTGTGTCAATTAACCATTCAGTGTCGAGCAAGACGTGGCACACCCCAATGCGTATCGAGACCGCATGGCGATCATAACAGATGTTATCCCACCGTGCAAATATCCTCGTGAAGGCTTATTGGGGCAAAAAACCATGCCGAACCAGGGAAGGAAAATGCGAATTCTGAGGATGCCTCACGCGAAACTGGCCGACACGCCAAAACAGAGCCAAACGGACGACTCAAGCGAACGACGCCAAACCAAAACGAAACCAAGGAAATACTGACGACGTCTCGAACGAAACCGGGCCCACTCCAGGCCAAACCAGGGGCCACACCAGGCAAATGTTGCGGACGTCTCAAACGAGAGTGGGCCCACACCAAGGCAAACCAAAGGCCAAACCAGGCAGATGTTGAGGATGTCTCAGGCGGGGCGCGCAGCCAAGCCAAACCATGTCAAAACAACCCAAACGAGGCCGAACAAGGGGCCCATGCAGATTATACAAGCAAGATCGCCCACACGTAGCACCCCGCCGCAGGCGCCGATTATTTTGTGAAAACAAGGCGGGTGGGTCGCAGGGCGGGTCGCGGGTGGGTCGCGGGCTGGGTCGCGGGTGGGTCGGGGGTGGGTCCCAGGTGGGACGCGGGTGGGTCACGAATAAGTGGCGGTTGGATCGCGGGTGGGTCCCAGGTGTGTCGCGGGCCGGGTTGCAGCAGGGGACGGCAACAACCACAAACAACAACAACGACAACGACAACGACAACGACAACAACAACAACAACAACAACAACAACAACAACAACAACAATTACTAGCACGTGGGGACACTCCGTTCTCACCAGTGCCAGGGTTTTCATAGGAGGCGGGCAATACCCCCACTTTGTGGGGGGGCCGGTTCAAGCTCTACCAAATTTCCAAACGACTCTTCGCCACCACCCACACCCAGCTTCCCGCCCTATGACGTTCGGACACTTCACTTCGTGGCATGCGGACGACCGTGGCTACTATTCAGGGCCCCGCGGCCGACGACGACGGCGTGCGCGCGCGAAGAAAAAACGAATGTGTCCCGCATGGTATTATTTGACAGGGATGATGGCCCTGGCAGGTGCGCAACCGTTGTTGCAGAAGTTCGAAAAAGTTGCTCGCAAAAGCCCGTTTGACAGAAATGATTAAAAAGTGTTGGGTTTCCTACGAATCCGCAAGAGCGCGCGGGATGAAATTTGACAATTTTTTTGAAAAACCATTGGTTTTTGATGTTTGTATGTTAAAATCGCTACGAAAACTAAGGTTTTGGAAGGATTTCGTCTTGCGCGCGCGAATGTCCACTTTACCTTATTTTTTGCAAGGGATTCTTGAAGTTTGGATATGTTAGAACAAGAAATGTCCACTTTAGCTTATTGTTTGCAAGGGAAAGCAGGCGTCAACAAAACAACCGGATCTGGTACACATCGTTTTGCCTGAGACTTCCTCACGAAAATGATGAAAATGAGGCTGCGGCCTAGGCGCGGCGGGGGGGCCATGCACCAGGGGCCCCAACAATAATTATTCTTTAGAAGTAATAATGTTCAACAACAATTACCAGCACGTGGGGACACACCGTTCTCACCAGTGCCAGGATTTTCATAGGAGGCGGGCAATACCCCCACTTTGTGGGGGGGCCGGTTCAAGCTCTACCAAATTTCCAAACGACTCTTCGCCACCACCCACACCCAGCTTCCCGCCCTATGACGTTCGGACACTTCACTTCGTGGCATGCGGACGACCGTGGCTACTATTCAGGGCCCCGCGGCCGACGACGACGGCGTGCGCGCGCGAAGAAAAAACGAATGTGTCCCGCATGGTATTATTTGACAGGGATGATGGCCCTGGCAGGTGCGCAACCGTTGTTGCAGAAGTTCGAAAAAGTTGCTCGCAAAAGCCCGTTTGACAGAAATGATTAAAAAGTGTTGGGTTTCCTACGAATCCGCAAGAGCGCGCGGGATGAAATTTTGACAATTTTTTTTGAAAAACCATTGGTTTTTTGATGTTTTTATGTTAAAATCGCTACGAAAACTAAGGTTTTGGAAGGATTTCGTCTTGCGCGCGCGAATGTCCACTTTACCTTATTTTTTGCAAGGGATTCTTGAAGTTTGGTTATGTTAGAACAAGAAATGTCCACTTTAGCTTATTTTTTGCAAGGGAAAACCGATCGTAACAACACAACCGGATCCGGACCAACCCGTTTTGCCTGAGACTTCCTCACGAAAATGATGAAAATGAGGCTGCGGCCTAGGCGCGGCGGGGGGGTCGTGCACCAGGGGTCCCAACAATAATTATTCTTTAGAAGTAATAATGTTCAACAACAACAACAACAACAACAACAACAACAACAACAACAACAACAACAACAACAACCGCAACCAAAAACAACACCAACGACAGCAACAATGACAACAACAATCATTTTAAGACTGTTCGCTCTTATCTGCTCGAGTTTCCCTTAACGCGTATTTCCCAATCCCTCGATACCCGCCCTCTTCGTCTTCAATCGTACCCCTTCTGGGGGGTATACCTTTCTTCCCTGCAGGCCGGGCACGGCCGCGGACCGTCGGCCTGGCCAGCGGCAGCGCTGATCGGCGGCAACTCGACCCCAAGAGGGACGGACAGGGGACCGACCACGACGACGACGACGACGACGACGACGACGACGACGACGACGACGACGATGGCGACAACGACGACGACGAGCGAAAGCGAGAGCGACAGCAGGGCCACGAAGGGCACGAAGTAGGCCACGAAGGGCGACAGCGGGAAGAAGAAGGGCATGCTTATGGGGCCACGACGGGCGCGAAGGAACGTGGGCCACGAAGGGCATACATAAAGTGGGCCGCGGAGGGCACGGACGGGGCCACTGAGGGCAGCAACGGGGTCACTAAGGGCAGCGAGAGGGCCACGAAGGGCGACAGCTGGGCCACAAAAGGCATGCATAAGGGGGCCACGACGGGCGCGAACGAG